GTCGCATTCCTTCACTAGGTCACTTGCATTACCATCCAGAATGTTCACATTTGCTGGATCAATATCGATGTGTCGAAAGAAGTTTTTGAACATAAACGAGTGATAACTCTCTGGGTGATCACGAGGTAATCCTGAGAAAAAACTTTCTTTATCTCGGTGGAAAAGCTGATTTTGAGAACAACTAATTGAGAGCTTGCAAAAGTTGATAGTGACTAGGTACTTCCGAAGAAAAAGATGTGATAAAGCGGAACGCATTGGTTAATTTTCAAGTGGAATCAATTCGTAACACAGCTATTAATGAGATCGAATACTGCTGCAATGGAAATCCTTTGAGAGGAAATGCAATCGCCATTAATGAATCTTATACTAAAAAGTAACACACCAACATATTCGTCCATGTTGAACGTCTTCACATACTGAAACGATACTCTGCCTGCTTTGTGCAGTTCAATCAGTTTTTTGTACATTCCCAGCGGCGTTGAGCCTAAATGAAGACATTATTCATAATCANTGATAACATGCAATTTTAAGCAACTAATAGACCAAATGATGAATGATCAGTACCTGTCGGTAAACCCAATGTAAAATACCGGTCCGGTCCAGCATTGAATTCATTGATTCGTTTCAGAACGTACAATGCAGCAAATTCAGCGACTTTATCGGCTGTATCGTGAATTATTAACTTCATTATGACGGCTTTATTTTTGTTTCCGAGACGTTAGAGGTTAGCAGTTCAGTGGCAGCACTGAAATCAAGAAGATGTATGACAATAAGGCGATGAGAATCTTATAAGACAATATTGATGCGATAAAACGATAATCGAGATCTCACAGACATACACACATTCTATGTGTGTAAATGAAAGCGAATGTTTGTAAATGCGTGGCATCGATAAATGCAATGCAATATACATAAGAACAGTTCTTTCGATGAATACTGAAGAATATTTAATGTACAATATTACGTTATCAGTGGCGCACAACTAAACAACTCTTTTTGAAAAGCATTCACTGTTTCGGAACAGCTCAAAATGATTAGTTTNTTTATGTGAAGTAATCAACATGATCTGGACGATTGAGTGTAGAAGAAGATTACTTCAGATCTCGTAAATGAAAATATTGTGGCAGCTAAATAAATGGGTTAAAATAAGGATCTCATTTGCTGTGAAATATACTTGAATTTCAGCAATCTTATGTTTGAATCCAATAATAATAATAATCAGCAAATCAAAGCATAAACTCGTGATGAGTTTGATTTGCTGATTAAATAAATAAATAAATAAAATAATAATAAACTTATAATGAAACGTTATAGGAACAAAATAACAACAACAGCACACACATGAAATGTAAAAATTATAGAAATATAAGCGTGAGGTGAGATGCAAATCACGCTGAAATACTCTTAAGTTTCTTTTTTCTTTCTTGTGACTAAACAACAAGAAACAGTAAATATTGTTTTGTTGGCATTATCTTCAAAATGTTTGAATAATGATCGTTTGATGTGATGACATAGTTTCGGAGAATCTGAAATACTATACGTTGTGATGTTATCCAAGAGACTGTGACTTGCGATACTCTAGACAGATCTGCAATCCGACTCAAATCGCTCGCGTAAACAAACGTTTAAAAAGCATTCAGTGTTTAAACATCCATTACACAATAAATGACATAAACTAAAGTTGCATGATGCTAACAAGCAAAGTGTCATTGCATGAATGCACTCAACATCAACTGTATTCACGAACTGATAAACCTCCTATCAAATGATTACGCTAAAGCTAAATACTAACTACTAACTCAATGAGAAGTAATTGCAGCAGGAGTTTTCCTCATTCATAAGGCACGTGGTGGTAATTGATGAATCAAAACAGTAAACAAGTGTTGTTAACAAGTTGTTGCCTGCGCAATTACGATGATG